CAGGGTGTGCAGGGCTGGGTCAGGGCTGCAGGGAGCCAGTCTGGRCACAGGAGCAAATTCCAGGGAGTTCAGATGGAGTTTGAGAGCTCTCCAAACATTCTACTTCCATTTTTTTCCCCAGGAGCCCAAATCCTACCTCCCAAGGGCCAAGACTATGCTGCCTTCCACTATGAGCTGAGCATCAGGAGGTCTAGCAGGACAAACCGGCCACAGACAAGATCCCAACCACATCCTCTACCCTGCCTACCACCAAAAACCCTTCCTATCCAGCCCCAAAAATCTCAATCACTGCAGCTTGGGGGTCTCTGCTTGTCTAAGAGCCTGTCAGGGGGCAGGGACTGGAGGCATGGAGTGGCAAGGGGTGTCCCACAGGCCCCATGCAGAGACATCACCAGCAAGGACACCACTGAAGATAAATCCTGACCATCCATTTTAGGCCTCTGCCACTGGTGGGGCTGGGAGCAGGGGGGACTGCAACTCAGAGATTCCAAATCCCCCTGGGACACAGCCCAGATGCTCCATGCAGGCCCTGTTCCTCTGGACGCCACCAGCCTGGCAGGGACATGTGGCCAGTAGTGACAGTTCTGCCCGTGTCAGGGACAGCCCAGGCCAGAGTGATTAGATTTGCACCTCGGAGGGGTCGAAGGGCAGGACACCTGCGACCTCCGGGTATCTCGGCCGTGGGTGCCGATCACAGAGCTGCCAACACTGCCCTGACGAGAGGCGGCTGTGCGGGGGCGCAGSAGGGGACGGGCTGGGACAGCTGCAGGGACCCTCAACCCAGGCTGTCTGGCATGGAGCTCTCTGCCACAGCCCAAACATAGTCCCTTTTAGCACCTGCTTTGTGTGTCTGAGTGTGAATTTAAACCCACACAACCCATGCTCCAGCWCTACCCTGTGCTTCTCCAGCTGTGGTGTCACTGCAGGAAAAAAAGCCACAGCTGCCACAGCAATATCTTCATGGAAACAGCTCCTTCTTATGTTCTGGGCAGCGCTGTGGGACTGGGGACACAAGTCCACACCACAGGCAGACACATTATCACAGCCTGCCACTGTCCAGGGCATGAGCAACTCTGGCGCCAGGATGTGCATCCAGGCATCTGCTGTGGAACTGGGARCTCGAGGAACCGCTTCTCCCACARAGCAGTCAGTGGGTGAGCAGCCACMTGTCCAAGCTCCCAACAATCCTGAGGCACCCTGGAGAGGACCAAGGATATGTCCAAGTACCAGCAAGCAGGACATGACCCCAAACCTGAGCTTCAGCTTCTCTAGCAGAGAGAGCCATTCCCACACAGTGCATCAGCCCCATTTCTCTTTGCAAGGCATATTGATGGGCAGAGGATGGGAATTACTGACAGCCTGGCCCTTCCAGACCCTGCTGCTGCCTCTCTTGGTTGYAAGCTGCCCACAGCTCAGCTCTGCCAGGGCCAGCCCTGCCCTGGTGGCTCCCTGAGCCAACAACAGAGGAACCCGTGCCCGCTGAACAGGGACAGCACGGTCAGCTAACACTTCAGAGAACAGAACACTCATCACACCCACCATCAGTAAGGTTCCAGTCAACCTCTGCTGGCCCTTTTCCGGGCTCCTGCTCCACTGAGGTGCCACACAGTTCTCTGCCCACTTGGCAGAGCTGCTGAACCCAAGGATAACAGGGGATACTGCATTTCCTGGGGTGTCCCCCTCACTTCTTCAAAGCCTAGGCAGCCAAGACTCAGAGAAAAAGAACTTTACACCAGATTAGCGTGGGAACCAGCAACAGAGAGCTCATGGAGCAGGGGACCAGCCCCACCTACAGCACAGTCACAGCTGCGCTTCTCAGCCGCCCTGGGGCCGAGGTCTAAGCCACAAAGAGTTGAAAGCCAGCCAGAACTCTGATGGGGCAGGACCAGCTGGGCATCGCAAGGAAAACCACTTCCTGGCCACGCTCAGCAGAGCAGCTCCCCATCCTGCTCCTYCATCCCTGAAAAAGCAACTCAAACACGACCTCTGAAACCAGAGCATCCTCTGGGAGCCGCTGGCCTGGCCCAGACACCCGGCTGGAGGARCAGCCAAGCCCCAGCCCAGCAAGGCTGCACCTGAGCCAGACCCTGCAGCGAGCAGCCCGAGCCTCTCACCGGGAGCAGCGGGCAGCTTTGGGGGGCTGTGTGGCACCGAGGGTGTGTGGCCACACTGCTCACACACTGTCACCTCCACGTTAGGCCCCACTTCATCCACGTTTCTCTGTTGCATGGCTCAGCCAGGGGCAGGGAGGGATCCATTGCTGGCTGTATCAGCACACAGAGCCCTGCAGCAGCAGAGGAAGGATGCTCAGARCAAACCGACTCCCAGAGCAACCCCAGAGCCATCATCTGGACTGGGGCACCATTTGGCTCCCCAGGTATTGGCTCCTCCACCTCACYTTGGGAGAGTGATGGGCTCCACTCCTTTACACGAATCTCCAGCATGGGGTGCTCATGTATGTGACACAAACACTGCATTACCCCCTCACCCTATGGAAAACAAGGCAGCCCTCACGCCAGGAGCCCCACGTTTCACTCCCTGTGCACAGAGAGCCTCCAGCCCCCCACCACCACCGAGCAGCCCCCAGCCCAGCCATGCCCGAGCTCACCTGCTCTTAGACAGCCCTGTTTGTTTGCCCAAGGTATTTGCAGCTGGGGGCACCTGCTTTGATACCATCAGCTCCACGAAGGAAGCTGCTCACCTAGCGTGACCCCTGTAATCCCATCCTTCCCCATTAAGTGCTGTGTGTGAGCGCATCCCCCCTCCCAGCCTCCTAACATTTCAGCATTTATCTCTCTCTCCCCAGGCTGAGCACACCAAGGCTGTGACACTGCTGGGGAGCAAGGAGCAAACCTCCCCAAATCACTTAGAAAGGGGCTCAGCAGTGCCATCACCCCTCAGCCCCTCCATCGCTCCCTCTGGGTTTGGGGCATCCACTTTCCCTGGCACTGCCCTACAGCAGCACTGGGGACCAGCCAGCACTGGGGACAAGGCCTTGGGCTGAGCTGGAGTGGGCTGCACAAGCCTTGTCTTCTTAAGCCTCCTGCCGCCATCCTCATATCCCCCATGATGCCACCTTTGTCCCCTGGCAGCACCGTCCTGTCTGCCTCTGTTGCAGCCCCTGAGGACACCACCAGCCTCAAAACATCACCTTTTACTACCGAAGAGGCCAAATGCTCCTCCTTATCAGCTGGCACAGCCTCTTCCATTCCGTGAAGAACAGCACCACCCTTCCAGGACCAAGCTGTGCCCACTCCTTCCACTCATCACTCCCCACCAGGCTTGCTACCAGCCACCTCCCCCAGCCCTCCCTTCCAAGAGCGCCTGGTTAAAAACGGTCTGCTGGCTCTTGTTCCCTGGAGCCAAGCTGAAATTCCATGGAGCACAAGCACGATCAAGGTCTGGCAGACAGATTATCCCTGACCCTTTCCAGGTGCACACAGCCAGGGAAATCTGCGAGATGATGGGGTGCCAGCACCGGCAGAGGCTGGGCACTGTCCCAGTCACGGCTCCATCTGCAGCCCAGGACTCCTATCCCGTTCCATCAGCACAGGGCACTGGTGCAGTGTGCCCACCAACACTGCTCAAACACCCCCAGCCCCCAGGGACAATGCTACCGCATCCCTTCACCCAGCTCAGCTGCAGGAATGTCCCGCTTCTTACGAACCTCCCACGGCAACGGGATCTGCCGAGCGATCTGACCGYGCCCGTGGGCACAGGCACCGAGCGCCAGCCCCGGGCACACGGGATGGGATGGCAGAGAGGGACCGCACCTCCCCGGGCACAGGACCTCTGCCAGCCGCACCCGCCTGTGGCAGGGACAGGAGGAGCAGCAGAGCGGGATGGCCCGGGGACAGCGGCCATGCCCCGGACGGAGCCCCGCGGGCCGGGCAGCGGCGTGGGGAGCGGGAGAACGGCGGGGGAGCGGCGGGGGCCGCAGGGTCCCGGTGCCCGGGAGCGGGGCCGCAGAGCCCGCCTGCCCCCTGGCGGTGCCGCGCTGGCCCCCGCCGCCTCTCCAGCCCCGGCATCCTCCAGCCCCGCTCCACCAAAGTGCTCAGCTCCCCCGAGCCGGCTTTATCTGCTGGTGCCCCCCAGGCAGCCGGGCTGCCGTGTCCCGGGGTTGGGATGGCAGAAGTCTTGGAGTCATGGAATTTTTTGGGTTGGAAGGGACTTTTAAAGGCCATCTAGTTTAATCCCTCTGCTATGGACAGGGGCATCTTCAACCAGAGCAAGTTGTTCAGAGCCCTGTTCAAACAATGTTTTTGGGATTGGGGCATCTACTGCTTCTCTGGGCAACCTATGCCAATGTTTCACTGCCCTCATTATAAAAAACCTCTCTTCCTTATATTTGATTGAAACCAACCTTTTCTGTTTAAAATTATCACCCCTTGTCCTAGCGGAACAGGCCCTGCTAAAGCCTAGCCCCATCTTCCTTACAGCCCCCTTTAAGTACTGAAATGTCACAGAAAGGTGTCCCTAAAGCCAATTCTTCTTCACTCCTTTTCCCTGTGCTGCAAGAGGCTTTGAAGCCTCATTCCAAGGGCTAAGAAAGGGCTGTTTGGGGCCAGAAGGAAACAATGGGTAAGTGGAAATGAGCTGCACAGGTCTCAGACGAGATAATATAATCTAGAAAGGAGCCTGAGCTGAGRATCCACCCTGGATTTCCTACATGAGCCCAGGCAACTGAGAAACTGTCCCAGGGCACCATCAGAGGCAGCACGACAGAATAGTCCATGGGGCTTCTCAAGGACAACATCCAGGAACTGGGACAGACACTGACACATGGGCCAATAATGCAAGACTGGCTGCAGAGAAACTGCCAGAGGAACATTTAAGGGCAGAACCAGCCACCATGGGTGAGAGATGCCATCTGGCTGAAGGGCAGAAAGGATCAAACACTCTCCGAGTACCCAGGCGTGGGGGGACACAACTCCTCAGCAAAGGTCACAGCTCAAGCTTCCCCACTGGAGTGTGCACAGGAAGAACCTGCCAGCCAGCAGTGACCTTACTTCAGACTTGATGCCTGAGAGACCTTTATTGAGTGTAAGAACAGTTCTTTACAATGAAGACTAACCCAGAACCTCCCCCCAAATCAGACAGGCTGTGAGCTCACACCCCACCATAACTGCAGTCAAGAACAGAGCCTGGGCCCCAGTTTCACACTTCCAAGTGTATAAAAACCACCAAACTGTGAGTAAGCAAAAGCAAACACATTAGGATCAGTGAAAGTGACTGTCCCACAGCTGGCTTTACATCCATCTGCTGGGGAAGGGGCCAGGACTGGGTACTTCACAGYCAGGGAAAGGGGGTGCACAGAGCAGAGGTGCAGGACAGCAAAAAGGCACAGGGCAAGGATCCTCCACCCCCAACTCCCAGAACAGGGATGGGRGAGAGGAGATACCAGCAGCATCCATCCAGTTTTGGGATCACCCTCCCAGGGCTGTGTGAAAGGAGACGCCCCAGTGCTGGGAGCAGCCCCTGCTCCCTCAAAAGTTACAACAGCATAAAAATAAAAACAAAGCAGCAAATCTTGAGGTCCTGGCAAGAGGTGTCCAAGGCAAAAACCATCCAGGGGAGAGAAGTCCCAGTGAGTACCTAGAGGAAGAACCAGATTGAGACCAGCAGACTCCAGCAGCACATTCCACCCACACTTGCCACATCAGTATCACAGCCACCCAGATCCTTCCTCCAAAGCTGCTCGGGCCCTCACCTTCTCTGGAGACAGTTTACTGCTTCCTCCTCCTACTTCTTGGCTGGCATAATAGGAGGAAGCTCCTCATCGTCCTCCTCAGACAARTCATCATCCTCCTCAAAGGAAGCATCTTCCCTGTGCACTGGGAGACACAAGTAACTGTAACTCACCAATGCATGTCTGTGCAAATAGAACTGGCCAGCAGAGCAGAGCAGCCCAAGGAGCACTGGAACAGCTTTCACAGCAGCTAACAGTGGGAAATGAGCACCATCCCAGTTGGAGGCAGGTGTCAGAGGGGAATGGTGACAGCCAGACATGGAAAAAGTGGACAGTTTGAGACATCCAGACTCTTCCCAAGCAAGGCGTTACGGAAAGGAAGGAATCCCTGATTGGAGACGGCCCCCGGGTAGTAACTCGTACAAAGAAGGAACAGAACACACATGCCAGGCAGCACACAGTGCATGTCCCAGGGGCTCCCTGGCTGCTGTTCACACTGGAGGGAGCTCCTTCATAGCCCTCACTCCTCCCAGGCTTTTGCCCACCCTTCAGTCCTTACTGATCCTGTGCCAGCCGGAGAGGTGCACTGGSCCAGAGCCCGCTGCCAGGCGAAAGGTCACTGGAGGCTGCAGCTTGAAGTTGTCCAGACTCAGCTGCAAAGAGCACAGACAGAGCTGAGTTAGGGGCACAGGCAAAAATCAGAATATCCTGTAGTTCCCACTGCAGCACCTGGCCCAGTTAAATAGGTCCATCTGAGGGCACCTGCACCCAGGCCAAGGGTACCCAGGGCATCTGCCTGTGAGCTGCAGTTCCTAGATCAGGATCCACAAACATCCAGAGCTGTCCTGTTCCCTGCAGCCACCCCCCCTCCCGAGTCTTTAAATCAGCCTCTTACCAAGGGCTGGCACGACAACTTCAGATTTGCCACAGGCACAGCTATCTCCTGGTTCTCATGGTTTCGCCCAACGACTTCCACCACGTTGCACTCRTCCTTGGCTCCATCTGTGAGGCACACCTGGGTGGGAGGGAGATTGTGAACCACTGCTGTCCCAGGGGACACGTCAGCAACAGCTGGGGCTCTCCATGGGACAAGCAACCCACAGCAATGCTACCAGCCCAGATGTCATGCAAGGTGTGAGGATTCTGCTCCACAGAATAGGGAGAGCACTGCACTGCCCCATAGCAATTGTCCCCTGACTGCCTCAGGAGGGCCTTTCCCAGCTGTGACAGATGTTATTGCAGTCACCTCAACGGATGGCACCTGGGCTGCATTTTCTGCTATGATCCATTCTGGCAGGTTCTGTGCTCCCAGCATAGAAAACATCCCCAGAGAGAGCCAGGAATGAAGCCCTGCACCTGTCTGGGCTTGGGGAGCAACAAGCCGGAGACCTGGCTGGTGTGAAGCTCCAGCAAAGTTAAATACAAGAGAAAAACATTTTCCTTCACTACTTGCCTGGAACATTCCCCCACTCAGTAGTCTCCTGCCACCATGGGCTTTGCACAAGCACTTCCATATGATGGATAAACATGACTACTCTATGTCTTGCCCTGAGAGCAGACAGTGCTGGGACCTCAGCCTAGAAAGGGGGCATAAAGATATGGGTGACTACAGGAGGCACTAAGCACAGTTAATTAATATTTCTCTTACCACAGACAGCGCCAAAATGTGGTCAGAGTCATCTTCTTCATCCACCCTAAATGTGTAGGATTTGGTACTGGCAGTCAGCTCACAGCCTAGAAGGAGGAGATAAAAAAAAAGCCGTAGCAGGCATTACACAGCACCAGGAGCCACAGGCAAAGGGCTCTGAGGGAGAGAGCACTGGCCAGGCATGCACATAGCATCCCTAAAATTTTATTTTCTCATGTGAGGAGCTGCATCAGGCCAGRGCACCCTGGGCTCCTGGGTCCCAGAGAACTACACACCTGCCTCTGTACCACGCAGGGACAAAATCTGGTGTTCCCTAGGTGGGTTACCATGAAGCCATGGCCGCAGGCACCCAAGGTTCCCAGGCACTGGCAAGGCAAGGCTTCCCCTCCAGAGAGCAGAACAATCAAGGCACACCACTGTGGGAAACTGGAGGGAGCAGACAAAACAGTGACTCTGCTCATGCCATTGCCAGTACAACTTTTTCTTGGATGGGAGTCTGGAAGCAAAGACCGACACAGAGTGCAAGACCTGAACGATGAGGCACAACCCAAGGGGAGGATGCCAGGCCAAGCTGCAGGRGGCTGGAGTCCCTCAAGAGAAATTTTGAAACGTATTTTATTACATACTCCTTCAGTTACAAAACCAAGGGAGATGCATAACTGTGTCCTTAGCTCTTAGGATCAGGATTCAGCCAACCAAAGGGAGGGAACTAAACTGCCCTGGGTGCGTTTACTTATTGCAGGATGATTCACCAATGCGAAGCAGATCGGAAAAACACAGAGCTGAGCTCTGCATACCAGAGCCGGCATTTACAAGGGAGAGGAATCCACGAACGCAGCCCAGGGCAGGAGCTCTTCCTGCCCGTGCTTCTATATTAACTCTCCGAGGGGRGGACCAAACCCCAGCTGCATAAAAGGCCTGGGGACCTGCAGCTCCGCTCCCCCCGCATGGCAGAGTGCGCTGAGCCGCCTGCCCCGCTCGGGCTGAGCGTTCCCCTTACACGCTTTGGGAGCAGCCCAGGGCCGAGTGTGGCCGAAACCCCGCCCAGAGAGGAGGGACGCGGCTGCAGCGCCCCGCGACAGGAGCCCACGAAACGCTGACGTGGGAGCGCGGGGGATTAACCGGACAAGCGGGAGAGGCCGGCGAGAGCCGGGGCTGCCAATCCCCCGCCCCATTATTCCCAGCCCGCTAAAGCCGCCAGAACACTCAGGAACCACGCGGGTCCCCCACACTGCCCCGGCACCCTCAGCATGTGCCCGTTCCCTCCCAAGCCCGCTCACACTCTTGTCTCTCCCCTCTGTCCTTCTCCCGGCACGTTAATGCCCTCCACGTGTTTCTTCAGACACACGTGTCTCTGTCGCCTCCTCTTCCCCTCAATGTGTCTGCTGTCCCCCCGTCTCTCTGACCGCCCTCCCGGCCCGACTACCCCCACATGTGTTCCCCTCACACAAACGTGTCTTTCCCGCCTCCACGCGGTCCCCATTGCTCACCAAAGTCGCTTCCTGCCCCGTCGCTCTCCTGCCCCCCCATTTATTATTTATTTATTATCTATTTATTATTTATTTATTATTAATTTATTATTTATTATCCCACCTCTCTCTCCTACCCCTCAGTTTCCTTTTACCCTCGTACGTCTCTTTCTCGTCCCCCCACCCCCGCCCCATATGTTACCTCACCAATTCATTTATGACCCTCCACATGTCTCGCTTCTCCCCCCGTGTCTGTCCCTCTCCCTTGCCCGTGTCCCCGCTGCCCGGGCCCGCTCACCGAAGAGGACGCTGCCGGGGCAGGCGGGCCCGTGCGGCTCCATGAGGCGGCGGCGCTGGCAGCGGTGTGGGAGCGGGGCGGGCTGTGCAGCGCCGTACGGAGCCCAGCCGAGCCGCCCCGCCCCGCGCCCGCCCCCGGGGAGCGAACCAAAGGGTCCTGCGGCAGCACTAGGCAGCCTTAACTCGGGGATGTCCTGCACATCCTGCGCCTTCAGCCTTTACTGACCCCGCGGYCAGCTGTGGAAACGCCACACTGGAAAAATGGTCCTTACTACCGGCCTCTCACCTCTCGCCCTTCTTTCTCTTGGGCACCATCCCGGCCGTCCCAGCACTGAGGAGATACAGGGCATGCACAGAGGCAAAAGGCTGAGGGCATAAAGAGGGGTACTGGGGGACAGGGTGACAAGGACGGAGGCAGAGCCACGACGGGAGGGACCTGTTCATCTCTATCCCTTTAAGTATGGGCGAGTGCAGCATGACCTGACACTGGGGACTGCGGCACAGGAGCATTTAAGCACAGAAGGCAGCATCCTACTTCAAAATCTACGGCAGGGAACAGAAGGTTGGACTGGCCTTTCAAAACAGAAAGAGAAGCAGCCTCCTTGGTGCTGCAGTGGAGCAGCCTAATTAAAACAAACCACACTAACAATGAGCTCACACCACATTCTGGGGACGAACCTGGCTCTGCTCCCACCACCACTGCCAGTCAGCCACTTGCTCTAATCGAGCTGGAGTAGGTTCAAGGAAAACCTGACTGAAGAGGTTTGAAAAGCTGAACCAGGTCCCAGAAAGAGGCAAGTGCTAGTGCAGCAAGTTACACAAGCACACCCACGTGCTTCGCAGCAGCTGCTCTGCGCAGCCACCCGACCCTACCTGACCTGTCTGCAGCCACCACCCTGGAGCAATGGAGGCAGGAGCATTCCTTGCTGCATTATGATCCCTTAGAAGTCGGGTGCAACATCAGAGCCCAACCTTGTTTCCCAGACTAAGATGTGTTGTACAGAGGCAACAACTGTCATAACCTCCTGAAATAGGCTCCAAGAGAACAGTYACCTACATGCAACACATTACTCATTTTTACAGAGAACTTTTACTGAGCAAGGAGAAAAGTTTTCAGCTGCTAACTTCCCTGCTTAGTTTGTGTTATCCTGGTCTCTACACATTTTCTGAACCACACCACCAGTGCACTTGGACAGCAGGTGGACAAACTCTTGTGAAATGACCTTAGAAAAAGCTGCTTTTCATACCCCTGGCCCATCCCTTTGCTTAGCTGTCATTCTAAGCAGGAAGCTACTTGCAGGAAGGTACTTGCTCAGTATTTAGCTTTCCAAGTTAATTTATGTGGCTGTACAAYTGTCAGCACCAAAACCAGACGCAAGTCTCTGATCGCTAATCCAGAGGGCATCCAACACTTACGGTGTGATGTAACGTATGTTGCTGAACCATTTCTGGTTCTGGAAGCTCACACACAAAATACACATTTATTTACATTCACTTCTCAATTTTTATTCTATTTCTCGCATGGTCTTCAATACAGTTTTACAGGTCTTTTTTCTGCTACAGATACTGTTTGATCTAAAACAGATTAATGAAAGTGGCATTCCAACCTTAATGAAAATTCATAACCATGAAAGATATGTCAACGTATCACTTTACAATCCTAGAATGATGGTATTGGCCTGACATTCCATAGGCTTAGACAATTAACTTCTATAGTAATAACAAATTCATAGGAAGAGAAAATGTGGCAACTCCTTAAAAGCCAAGAAATAAGGCCACAAGCATCCTATGCTGTAATGTTATGCATCCAGATAAAAKAAGTCGAGTCTGGTATCCATGAAGAAACGAAACTCTCCCACCTGGTAAATCAAGGATTCAGCTACTCAACATGCACTCAAAGCTGTATAAAAACTAGTGGCATTCAGCTCGGACTTAATGAAATCCCACAGCACAACCCCGTACCTCTCTCTAAAAATGAAATGAACTTGTTTCAACTTAAATACTTTGCTACTGCATTAAAAATCATTCACATTCTGCAAAGGGAAGAGAAGGAAAAAAAAAAAAAAAAAAAAAAGGAAACATCTTGTACATGACTGCACCAGAAGGCCAAACACAGCATCTCCTTACAGGTTGCAGAGAGCATTACTGCAGTTTTAATGCCATTTATTACAGGTTGCAAATCAACTTCTATGCAGCTGGAGGCTTGTAAGAGCAACCAAGCTTCCTTCGTGCACCACTGAAAAAACCCCAGGAAAACTTAAACRTAAGAGCAAGACAGCTGATGGCAGCAGGTGGAAGAAAGAAAGTACTGCAAAGTGCATACCACTGTCCGATCACCTGTCTGGGACACTGGGACTTTCGTGAAATACCATTTTCATAAATGATCCAACTACCTGACTACCAGGTCCCATATGACACCAGTTCCATCCCATAACCAAGCATRTCCATCCTGGGTAAAAACATCAAACTTTTGGAACATTTAAAAGTAGATAACCATTTAAATAATGTGTAAAAATGTGCTTATTGTGGCATCTCTTATAGAAAAGTTATTTGTTACAAATGTGCAGGACTTGAAGACCCTGATTTAATCAAACTAGTACGAACAGACTTTGAAACATGGTGACTCTTCCAAGGATAAATCCCAGCTGTGGGCCAGCTCTCTCTCCCTCTCACCATCTTTCATTCATAATCCCATGCGAACATTACCAAAATTAACGGGTTCGGCAAAACATCCTGTAAATTGCTGTTTCAGTCCCAGGAGAATGATACTCTCAAGCAGTGACAAACTGCTATCTGAAGGAAGGGTCWGTTGGGATCTGCTCCCCTTTCCCAAGATGGTCAGTTCCTAGCCCTGGATATGAGGCACAATAAGAAAGGTCAGTGCTGAGGACAGACTTGTTCTCGATTGTGGTTTTAGGTTATTCAAAAGTGCCATCTTGAACCTATACCATTACACTTTTCAAAAGAAAAAGTTACAAAAACTAGTAAACAAAAAGTTAGTCAGCATATAGCTAAGTTTATATACACTGAGATTTACAAGTTTGTCATTAAGTGACTTCTGCCACAGACCACTGCACATTTGTCCCTAACAAAACACAAAGCTTGAACCAATGGTCATTAGGAGTGACAACGGGTCATTGCTTTATCAACAAGCGTAAAGGTAGTAAAAAATAGAACTGTAACTACTTATCTTTAAAAATGCTGATTGACACAAGCAATCCCTCCCATTTCTGCAACTTCCAGTTGCACTTCCTCCTCTGTGAGGGAGAAAAAAACCTGCATCTTTATAGGCATTCTGCCAGAGACCAATTTTCTATTGACACTTGAAYGCAGAGAACTGTCATCAACCACAGCACCAACTGAGAGGGATTCCTCTGGGCTATAGCCCATGCAAGATTCCTTGGCACTTCACACAGGACCAGGAGAGGATAAGGTTTCTCTTTGTTATAACCATGTTTTCAGCAGCATTATCCCCTTCCAACAAATTACAGTCTGAATGTGTGATGGGTGATTTTCGCATAGCCCCTTTTACCAAGCTGGCTTATTGCTGGCTTTGTGCAGTTAGACCATATGAAGATCCCCACCACTACCTGCCCTGCTGTTAAGGGTCTACAGTACTGGAACAGTTCACTGTCAAGCACTTCACAGGCTTCTTCCAAGGATAACAACATCCTTTGGAAATCCTTCCATTTTAGCAATTTCAAAACAACCCAGCTTGCTGTAAAATTCCAAGATTCTTTTATCATCTGGTCTCACTTCACAAAAAGCCCCACGGGAGCCTGAAGAAGGAAGAAAAGAAACAAAATACAGTTAGAGAAGAATTACTGCAAAAAGGAGACAAAATATTACTACAGTTCCCACCCATTTTAACAGGTAAATCCGTGATCCAATTCCACACAGAGCAAAGTGCCCCAGAGTCCAGATTTATGGCAGCATAGCTGACCATCCCCTAACAGAACTGCACACAGCAGGCATCTCATCAGTTTGAATAAACCCTCTGCACACCTTTCACTGCACACAAAAATATCCGRCTTTGGATGCTGGCTCAAAAAACAGCATTACAAGAGAGCACCAAGTGGCACAAAGGAACTGTGAGTGTGGGGTGAGAAGTCAGGGCAGGCAGCCAAGCACTTCCCATACTGAAGGTCTGGTAATTAACCACCAGTGCACAGTCACACGTGAAAAAAAAGGATCACTACCAATGCCAGCAGGAAAAATACAGACTTTTGTGCAGTTTTCAAGATGTAAAGATGTGTGCTCTCAGCAGCAAATTGCTCCCCTACTTCTGCCTATCTTCTAATTTGCAGGATAATGGCTAAAGTGAAAAGCTACCTTTTTCAAGACAGCAGCAGATGTTAGCTATTCAAAGCTTTTATAATTACTCACCCAAATCTTCCCAAGTTTGTCTTGTACCCTAGAACTGACATGCAGTTAGGAAACAAGGAATTCTAAGTGCCAGAAACTTACCATTAGCCTTTAGAGAAGAGAGCAGGCAGGCCATCATACTTTTGGCCACACTCGGATCTGTCACTTTTTTGTGGATATCAATCTTTATCAAAGATGGGAAGTTAGCAAGAAACGATTCTGGCAATACTTCTTGTTCTTCATGGAAGCTTAGCATTATTTTCTGAAAAGAGTATGGGAGACAGGTGTTTAATAATTATCCAGCTTTTCATTTTCATTCATCTTCATCAGGGGAGACTGCTTTCTCATGGAGTGTACCTCCAAACCAGCAGGCTTTTCAGCTACACCTCACCTACTGATGGCCCCTTAGGTCCTCATCTGCCGAAYTGCTGTCTGTACTCTAGACAAAAAGACTGACTACAGAAGCTGCTCAGACTGTCAAAGGAGGAATGCAAAGCTCCTTCTCAGTGACCCACACTTCAAGTGAAAGAAAACATAAGCCAACACATAAGCAGCAGTTGGTGCACAGAGGACTCTTTTCTAATTCTTTGCCTTTTTAATAGKCAGTTTTAGGTTGCTTTGCACCATTTACAGCTGTCACACTCCACAAATAGCTCATAGATTTTCACACCAAAACCAAGTGCTCTTGAATTTTTTTCCATAAACTGATATGACTTTCAGTGCTCTACCTGAAGCATGGGAAAACTAATACTGCATTTTGTAGAACAGAGCAGTAGTAAKACTTTATCAAATGTAATTTTCTCTAGATTAAGGTGCTCTACATTTACTGCATTGATTACTACTAAAATACACTTCATGGGTGTATTACCACACACAGGTGCATATGACTGGAAATGAATAATTTCACCATCTCCTTCTGATACATCAGATTCTTTAATACATGCTCAAAG